CAGAACTGTTTCAGTCAAGGAGGTGGATTTCGAGAAATTAAAAATTAACCCTCACTTGGGGGGAATTACCGGTTTAGGGTCAAAAATTAAAATGTTATATACTACATGGGCCAAAACTGTAAATATCCGAAGTTTATTATAACTAATATAGTAATTTAAAGTTTTCTTAAATCGTAAATCGTAAAATTTGATAGATTTGTGGTATTGAAGATTTATTTTAACATTTGAATCGACCTAGGTATGAATGAAATTAATCGTACAATTTGAATCTTAAATCATAAGATTTTAGGCTCGGTATTGCATTTTTTTGTAAATGAGTCACACATGGTTATAGCCAAGTACAAGGAGTCGAAGCATGCCGCGTTGGTGGCAGATATTTCGGATATTGCAAGAGAGATCCACTTTGGGGTCAAATTTGCAATTTGGGCAGAGCGGCCGGGAAGATGGAGTAAGTATAGGGGTGATTCTGCAGTTTTCAAAACTTTTTCGTGCATATAGGTGGATTTCTAGAAATTACAAATTGACCCCGGCATGGGGCGCATTTCTGGTTTAAGAACAAAAATACAAAATGGCATATAATATAGGGACCAAAACTATAATTATCGCAAGTTTATGATAAATAATATAATAAATAAAATGTTTCTTAAATCGTAAATCGTACAAATTGATCGATTTGCTGGTATTTAAGATTTATTTTAACATTTGAATCACCTTATGTAAGAATGAATTGAATCGTGAATCATAAGATTTTAAGCTCGGGATTGCGAAATTTCCTGAAGGAGTCACACGCGATTACAGCCGAGGAGGAGTCGAAGCATGTTGCGTTGGTGGCGGATATTTTGGGTATTGCAAGAGAGATCCACTTTGGGGTCAAGTTTGCTATTTGTGTGGAGCGGATGGGAAGATGGAGTAAGTATAGGGGTGATTCTGCAATTTTTAGAAATATTTCAGCCAAGGAGGTGGATTTTCGTAAATTATAAATTGACCCCCATTTGTGGGGAATTGCCGGTTTAAGAACCGAAATTAAAAATTGTATATAGTATAGGGATCAAAACTATAATTATCCCAACTTTATTAAAAATAATATAATAAATTACAGTTTTCTTAAATCGTAGATCGTAAAATTTGATTGATTTGTTGATATTTAAGATTGATTTTAACTTTTTTATCGACTTAGGTATAAATGAATTGAATCGTAAGATTTGTATCGTAAATCATAAGATTTTAAGCTTGGTATTGCGAATTTTCGCAAACGGGTCACACGTGATTACAACTGAGGAGGATTCGAAGCATGCTGCGTTGCTGACGGATATTTCGAATAATTCCAGAGAGATCCACATTGGACAAAATTTGCAATTTGAGTGGAGCAGAAGATGGAGTAAGTATAGGGGTGATTCTGTAATTTTCAGAACTGTTTCAGCAAGAGAGGTGGATTTCCATAAATTACTGATTGACCCCCACTTGGGGGGCATTTCCTCTTTAAGGACCATAATTAAAATTGGTGTATAATATAGGGACCCAATCAGTAATCATCCCAAGTTTATTATAAATATTATAATAAATTAAAGTTTTCTTAAATCATAAATCGTAAAATTTGATCGATTTGTGCTATTGAAGATTTATTTTAGCATTTGAATCGACTTAGGTATGAATGAAATGAATCGTACGATTTGAAGCTTAAATTAGTATAGGGAATTTTCGTAAATGAGTCACACTTGATTACAGCCGAGGAGGAGTCGAAGCATGTTGCTTTTGTGGCGGATATTGCAAGAGAGATCCACTTTGGGATTAAATTTGCAATTTGGGTGGAGCTGGTGGGAATATGGAGTAAGTATAGGGGTGATTCTGCAAATTTCAGAACTATTTCAGTCAGGGAGGTGGGTTTCGAGAAATTACAAATTGACCCCTACTTGGGGGCATTACCGGTTTAGAGACAAATATTACAAATGGTATATAATAAAGGGCCAAAACTATAAATATCCAAAGTTTATTATAAATAATATAATAAATTAAAGTTTTCTTAAATCGTAAATCGTAAAATTTGATAGATTTGTTGGTATTGAAGATTTATTTCTACATTTGAATCGGCCTAGGTATGAATGAAATAAATCGTACGATTTGAATCTTAAATCATAAGATTTTAGGCTCGGTATTGCAATTTTTCGTAAACGAGTCACACATTGTTACAACCGAGGAGGAGTTGAAGTCGGCTGCGTGATGTGGAGGATATTTCGGATATTACAAGAGGGGTCCACTTTGGGGTCAAATTTGCAATTTGGGTTGAGCGGCTATGAAGATGGAGTAAGTATAAGGGTGATTCTGCAATTTTCAGAACTGTTTCAGCAAGAGAAGTGGATTTCCATAAATTACGAATTGAACCCCACTTGGGGGGCATTTCCGGTTTAAGGACCAGAATTAAAAATGGTGTATAATATAGGGACCCAAAGAGTAATCATCCCAAGTTTATTATAAATATTATAATAAATTAAAGTTTGCTTAAATTGTAAAATTTGATCGATTTGTGCTATTGAAGATTTATTTTATCATTTGAATCGACTTAGGTATGAATGAAATGAATCGTACGATTTAAAGCTTAAATTATAAGAGTATAGGCTCGGCATTGCGAATTTTCGTAAATGCGTCACACGTGATTACAGTCGAGGAGGAGTTTAAGCATGTTGCTTTCGTGGCGGATATTTGCGATATTGCAAGAAAGACCCACTTTGGGGTTAAATTTGCAATTTTGGTGAAGCTGGTGGGAAGATGGAATAAGTATAGAGGAAATTTTGCAAATTTCAGAACTGTTTCAGTCGGGGAGGTGGGTTTCAAGAAATTACAAATTGACCCCCACTTGGGGGGATTTACCGGTTTAGGGACAAAAATTACAAATGGTATATAATACAGGGGCCGAAACTGTAAATGTCCGAAGTTTATTATAAATAATATAATAAATTAAAGTTTTCTTAAATCGTAAATCGTAAAATTTGATAGATTTGTTGGTATTGAAGATTTATTTCAATATTTGACTTGACCTAGGTATGAATGAAATAAATCGTACGATTTGAATCTTAAATCATAAGATTTTAGGCCCGGTATTGCGATTTTTTGTAAATGAGTCAGACATTGTTACAGCCGAGGAGGAGTCGAAGCCGTTGCGTTGGTGGCGGATATTTCTGATATTGCAAGAGCGATCCACTTTGGGGTCAAATTTGTAATGTGGGTAGAGCGGCAGGGAAGATGGAGTAAGTATATGGGTGGATCTGCAATTATCATAACTTTTTCAGGTAGAGTGGTGGATTTCTAGAAATTACAAAATTGACCCCACATGGGGTGCATTTCTGGTTTAAGAACCAAAATAAAAAATGGTATATAATACAGGGACCAAAATTGTAAATATCCCAAGTTTATGATAAATAATATAGTAAATAAAATGTTTCTTAAATCGTAAATTGTTAAAATTGATTGATTTTCTGGTATTTAAGATTTATTTTAACATTTGAATCACCTTATGTATAAATGAATTGAATAGTGAATCATAAGATTTTAAGCTCGGTATTGCGAAATTTCCTAAGGGAGTCACACACGATGACAGTGAGTATGAGTCGAGGCACGCTGCGTTGGTGGCGGATATTTCGGGTATTGCAAGAGAGATCCACTTTGGGGTCAATTTTGTTGTTTGTGTGGAGTGGATGGGAAGATGGAGTAAGTATAGGGGTGATTCTGTAATTTTCAGAAATGTTACAGCCAAGGAGGTGGATTTTCATAAATTACTAATTGACCCCCACTTGTGGGAAATTGTCGGTTTGAGGACCAACATTAAAAATTGTATATAATATAGGGACCTAAACTATAATTATCCCAACTTTATCATAAATAATATACTAATTTAATTTTTCTTAAATCGTAAATTGTAAAATTTGATCGATTGTTGATATTTAAGATTGATTTTAACTTTTGTATCGACTTAGGTATAAATGAATTGAATCGTAAGATTTGTATCGTTAATCATAAGATTTAAAGCTTGGTAGTGCGAATTTTCGCAAACGAGTCACAAGCGATTACAACTGAGGAGGATTCGAAGCATGCTGCGTTGCTGGCAGATCGGATATTGAAAGAAAGATCCACCTTGGTGTCAAATTTGCAATTTGCGTGGAGCGGCTATGAAGATGAAGTAAGTATAGGGGTGATTCTGCAATTGTCAAAAATGTTTTAGCAAAGGAGGTGGATTTCCATAAATTACTAATTGACCTCTACTTGGGGGCATTTCCGGTTTAAGAACCAAAATTAAAAATGGTGTATAATATAGGGATCCAAACAGTAATCATCCCAAATTTATTATAAATATTATAATAGATTAAAGTTTTCTTAAATCGTAAATCATAAAATGTGATCGATTTGTTGATATTTAAGATTTCTTTTAGCATTTAAATCGACTTACGTATGAATAAATTGAATCGTAAGATTTGACTCGTAAATCATAAGATTTGAGGGTCGATATTACGAATTTTGTAAGAAAACTTTAATTCATTATATTATTTATAATAAATTTGGGATAATTAGAGTTTTGGCCCCTATATTATATATTTTATTTTAATTTTGGTCCTTAAACAGGTAATGGCTCCCCAAGTGGGGGTCAATTTGTAATTTCTGGAAATCACTTTGTTATGCAAAAGAAAATATAAAATAGTCTACTAAATCTTGCAAAAGAGAATATTAAGTTATTGCAAAAATCCCATCACATGATGATGACTTTGGAAACAACAATTTGGTATTTTAGCCCAAGCACGATAATAGCACCATGCTCATCTATTGAAATCTCAAATTCTGGATAAGTTGTGCAGTTCTTAGACCTGCAAGTATAAATTTATTCATGTAACAGACTTTTTATGTAAGAAAAATTAGAACATTAACTATAACGCCCAAAATCTAAGCATATATTAATCATGCGAACGCAAATGGACGAAGACAACAACATTCAAAGACCAAATAATACGTCTACAAAAAACTAAATCTGAACTGGGGTTCGTTTATTTTAATTAAATCCGTAAAAAAAGAATACGATATATTGATAAAAATGTGATCTTTACCTCAGCTTACGAATAATAGTTCCAAGTGTAAGCAAACTACGGTTAATATGACAGCCTTCTTTTAACCTTGTGCCAGCTGATAACGATTGAGATGCTCGTTCACTTCCAGCCAAATCGACAAAATTCTGTCGATAAAATTAATTTCCGATTAAAAAACATTAAATAATGTTATACAATTATTTTTTTGTTATTAGATAAATTCCATACCACAGCAGCTGTAAGAGTGCTCGCATTGTCCGTTCCTAAAAAGTCACGAGAACAGCTTTCAATAGTCTGCGACAAACCACATTGTTCATTAACAAAAGTTATTGAATAAATAAACAATAAATTAAATAAAATCACAATATACCAATCTAATAATATGGTGGGATCTCGAGCTCATTTCATTAAGCGACGTTTCTCCAATTTGTCTTTGAGCTGCAAGGATTAACAATATTCATAAATGATTATAAAGAAAAATAAGATATTTTTCCCCTTTAAAACGGTCATATGTAGTATAAGATGGTACATATTTTTTTAATTGTGTACCGTACCGTAGTATCATCAGAGAAAAAACCAAATGCATGAACAATATAATAAATTTGCTGGCAACAAATTGTAGGTGGCTAGTAGAGGTGGTCGTTGGGCAGAACCAGCAGACCCTCCTCTAATAAACACAGTCTTGAAGCCCCTTTTACGGGGCAATTTGCAAATCTGAAACTGACCCACCAAATTAGAATCAGAACTACAAAAATTCTAAACGAAAACAAAAGAAAAAAGCACAGACATGATAGATATGTAATTAGAATCAGTACGCTTAACAAGGATTTAACATGAGTTTTTCAGTAAATTAATGAAAGAAAATTGAAAGAATCAGTAAAACAAGTAAATTTAGTGTCCAATGCATATCTCTTTTTTTTACTGAACTCCAAAAGTTCTGAATTTTTTCCAACAATATATCAGTATTTTCATATATAAATATAATGTATTTTAAATCTAATTAATGTAAATAAAAATTTAATATTATGTATAAAATATCAAATGACATGATAAAAAAGCAAATTAATTCATGGAGAGAGAGAGAGTAAAATAGGTTTAAAAAAATTATTTTATTGCATTGAACTGAGAAAACAGTGTAAAAAATTGAGATGACAATCAAGAAGCAAGGGTGACACTTGGTCAGCTATCTACAGCACAAGCCAATATATCTCTATAATCGCGCGATATTCTCAACGAGTCGTAAACCTCTCCATTGCTGCTCTTTTTGTACTCGAGCAACAAATTCGAATGGTCAAACGCAGTCAACTTCACAAATCCGTAATCGGAATCTCAGAAAAGACTCCACCTTGGTGTGAAAGTCGAGAAATCCGACAGGCTGGCACCTCCTCCTCCAGCCACCACGTGTATGGTTCCGTTTAAGCTACCCTTGTAATAATGCTTCTCGTTGCTCGTACATATGTTCTACACCAACAAAAGAGATAAACGGTCAATTGTATTAAACGATTTCGATTTGATGAGAAAATTTGAGAAATAGATTCTCCACTTACCTTTTTCACAGTATAATGTCAATCGTATTGGTTTGTAAAAAATACGGAAATCGTAAATTGGAAAGAAAAGAATTGTTCTGAAATTGGAAACTTTCGAATTGAATCGGCGGAATGGTTAAATATAGTGCAAAATACATAATAATATTGATATTAGAAGTGTAATTTCCAGGGGGGCAAACGGAATTTTTCAAAATATTTTTGGAAATTGAAATCTAATGTGTATTCCAACCTCGTTTCAAAACAGAAATCAAAAAAATCGGAAATCGGAACTTTCGGAATGCAGAATGAAAATATTCTTCCAAAATCGGAATTTTTTGGATCGGATTTATCAGAATCAGCAGAAAATGGAATAAGAGATTAAATTAAAACTTATTACCTGGTAAATAGGACAAGTCCGTTCGTAACTGTGAGCGTGCCCGTAAAAAGCAATGTCAACTTTATACTTCTGCCATAGTTTTTGAAGGTCGTCTCTTCCCATTGGTTCAGCAAAGGAGCCCTCGTTTGCGTAAAAATCTGTGACACCCCCTAGTAATCGTATAGCAAACCGAGAGGGTTTGCCATGCACGGAAGCTTTAAAGGTATTATTTAAGTATTTGGGTATGTGGGTAGACTCCAAGGGGTTTAGTGAACCGATTACATATTATTATTATTATTATTATTTTTTTTTTTCTTTGAGACTTAGAATTTAAAGACGGAGTCGGCTTCGGAAGATATTTCGGCGAAGTGAATTAGTGGGAGGGTGGAGTATACGGCTAACTACCCAATAATTTCGTAATATCGACTTTTTAAGTGGTGTCACCTTGATAAAACATAGAAAAAGGTTAAAGTCCATAATTAAAACTACATATTAATAAGTGGGCCATAGTTTAACAAAAGGGACCCATATTCGGAGGACTTAGTCTCCTTTACCACGGATAATAATACACATGAGCTACTATAGAAACAGTAATTGTCCTAAGGACAATATACACAAAAGATAGCACTACAAGCAAAATAAGTAGATCCTCCATACGAACCAAAAACCCGGAGTCGGCCTCTCGAAACTTCGACTAGTCCAATCCGGTGGAGTGAGTAGTACTAGTACCTGCAAACGGAGAATATCTATATGAGCTAACAAAGCTCAGTAAGGTTATCGAAAGATACCGAGAATTTAAAATATAGTCATACTACATATACTATATAATAATATCACAAGTACAACAACATTTAACACAATTTACATGTCTAGGACATATAATTCATTAACTATAGAAACGTTTTTATCGGATCCGATGAGAAATCAACTTCTTTACTTAGAACATGAGAAGATTATTCTGAGCCCGTTTTGGTGGAATCAAACCACCCAACTGTAGTATCTATGGTTGGAATACCGGCCCCCCGTATCCTTTCTCATCTTTTCTAAGTATTTCATTAATCCCCCAATTTATTTTATTTAATTACAAAAAGGCACGACCGAAGTATTTAGAATTTCGGTTGAGTACATAAAGGTATCAATATTCCACAATAACCCATAAGAAATATAAAAGCCACAAAACATCACAAATATCAATCAAGTGACAATTAAACACATATTTCACAAAAGATTAACCATTATCAAATTGTGTACTCACGCATACTCACCCAAGAATATAACACAAACCTAATAAGGATCAACCTATCTTCTATCTTTCCTTAAGCTACTTAATTTCAATTAAATTCTAGGATCAAGGAACCATATTAGTTTTGGAGGTTTCGGGTATTCAGCACAACACCCCTGAACTTTTGAAAATTACAGTTCTGCCCCCAAAGTTCAAGACTCACACATGCAATATACTCTAAAGTTCAAAAATTCATACTTTCATGAAAATCGACCCTTAAATTAACTGAAATTCAGATTAATGCAGAAAACTCAGTTATAAGTGATTTGATGCAGAATTTCCGGAAATTACATAGTTCACCCTAGCTTCTCAAGATCTAGACATGCAAGACCTCTGAAATGCACAAATTCCATTTTCTAGTAAAACCCCTTAAAAACTGAATATTACCCTTTACTAGATGCTGGAAAACAGACCTGGAATTCTAATTGGAATCAATTTCTCGAAAATTACAGATTTACCCCAAAACTCTTTCAAATTACACATGCAACAACACTATGATTTCTAAATCTACTTTTTCATGAAAAATCCCCAAAAATCCGAAATCTTTATTCAAAATATGCAGAAAACGAAATTAAGATTTTAATTTATGCAACAACTTTGAAAATTCCATTTTCCACCCCAAAACTTTTAGATCCATACATGCAAGGCCACTAGGAGTTCAAAAATTACTTTTTTCTTAAATATTTTCCTAAATCTGGAATTTCAGTTCAATAAATGCTAAAAACCATCTTTGAAAACTTATATGGATCTGACTTCTCACAAATTGCAGATCTGGCCCGAAAGTATGCCGATTTACACATGCAACCCCATAACTTTTCCCAATTTAATTTCTTCACAATTTTCGAAATAACTGAAACTTCTATGAAGGTAATCAACTCAAATCTACCATTTAAGACCTCTGATCATACATGCAATAACATAAATCATATGAACTAACAAAAAGAAACAAGTAAATGCAAGAATTAACACAAAAACAAGAATTAGGGGTGTCTTTTAATTAATTTCGAAATTTATTCTTGATACTTTGATACCTCCATTTGCAGCAGGGATTTCGATTCCTTACCTTAAAAACAGAAAGGAAATAAAAGGCTAGATGAAGAGGGGAAAGGTTCTTGGGAACCTTCAAAGAAAAACCGAAAGTTAGAAGGGGAAAAACGAAGAAGAAAGAAGAGGTGGAAGAACTTGGGATGGCAGCTTCTTACCTTCTTCAAGCTTGCAGATTTAGCCAAGCTACCTTAATGTGGAATGACACGGTGTAGATTTCAAGGTGAGAAGTGTTCTCATTCGTGAAGGGGCACCATGTATTTATAGTGTTCTTGGAGAATTCAAGGGCAAGGGTGAGATAGGGAATTCTCATTGTTGGTTTGAGAAGTATCTTGCTGATTTTGGGGGTGGTTCGAGCTTTGGTGGAGCTGCTATCAATGGTGGTTTCGGTGGTTTGAAAGAGGAAAGAACAATGAAGAAGGAGAGGGGTTTGGGTGCAGCCGAAATGAGGGGGAGAGAGGGACTCTTGACCTTCTAATTAAGCATGCTAGAGATGGAGTGTAGGATTGGGTTAATAGGGGTTAGGCTAGGCTTAGGATAATCATTTATTTATTTTCTAATTATTTAATAATCCACCCCTAATTATATACACATACACGGCACACACATATATATATTCATATATATTATATATTATGGTAATTTCTAATATGCATGCAAAATTTCCGAAACACATAGGCACATTAGGTCACGTAATAAATTTGATATCTAATAATTCGGATATCAATAATTCACGTATAGCCCTATTTTTGGTAAAATTTAGTATTTACGTGACTAGAGGTTTTATTATCGTGTTTTGAACACGTGGGGTGTTACAATCTTCCCCCCTTTAAAAATTTTGTCCCCAAAATTTGTTACCTGTCCCGAATAATTCGGGATAGAGACTTCTCATTTCTGATTCGCGTTCCCATGTAGCTTCTTCGGGTGTGTGGTTGTGCCACTGCACTTTGACTAGGTGAATCTCGCGGTTTCGGAGTGTCTTGGTTTTGGAGTCGAGAATTCGGAGGGGTTTTTCTTCGTAGGAAAGGTTCGGATTTAGCTCAATAGGTTCGGCCTTGAGAACGTGTTCGGGGCTGGGAATGTATTTGCGAAGCATGGAGACGTGGAATACATTATGGATTCGGGATAGGTTAGGCGGAAGTGCTAGACGGTAAGCGCGACTGCCTATTCTTTCGAGTATTTCGAACGGTCCGATATATCGCGGAGATAGTTTGCCTCGGTTTCCGAATCGCAAAATTCCTTTAAAAGGGGCTACTTTTAGGAATACTAAACTTCCGACTTCGAATTCCAAATCTCGCCTCCTATTATTAGCGTAGCTTTGTTGTCGGTTTTGGGCAACTCGCATATTTTCTCGGATGTCTCGAACTAGATTCACCGTTTGTTGAACTAAGTCGGGTCCGAGAAGTTTTCTCTCTCCAACTTCATCCCAGTAAAGGGGAGATCGGCACTTGCGTCCATAAAGTGCTTCGTATGGCGCCATTCCGATTGATGATTGGAAGCTATTATTATACGCAAATTCGATCAACGGTAGCCGAGATTCCCAGTTGCCTCCAAAGTCGAGTATACAGGCTCGAAGTAGGTCCTCTAGGGTTTTGATTGTACGTTCCGACTGGCCATCGGTTTGGGGGTGAAAGGCAGTACTGAACGATAATTTGGTTCCAAGAGTTCCTTGCAAACTTTTCCAGAACTTCGAGGTGAATCGTGGGTCTCGATCCGAAATAATAGCCGTCGGAATCCCATGGAGTCGGACGATTTCTCGCATATAGAGTTCTGCGAGTTTTCTAGGCTAAACGTCTTGCGGATTGGAAGAAAATGGGCCGATTTGGTTAGCCCGTCGATGATTGCCCAAATTGAGTCGAATCCGCGCTGGGTCCTTGGGAATCCTTGAACAAAGTCCATCGTTACCACTTCCCATTTCCATTCGGGAATTTGGTTTGGTTGAAGTAATCCTCCGGGTCGTTGGTGTTCAGTCTTGATTTGTTGGCAGGTGAGGCATTGGGCAACGAATCGAGTTATATCATTTTTCATTCTCGGCCACCAATATAGTTTCCTCAAGTCTTGGTACATTTTGGTTGATCCGGGATGACAGGTATATGTAGTCTGATGCGCCTCGGCTAATATGAGCCGTTTAATTTCGGCATCGTCGGGAATGCAAGTGCGGTTTTGGAATAGGAGAAATCCGTCTTTGGAAATTCGGAAATTAGGGTTTGCTTCGAGATTTGTGCGAATCTTCTGAAGTTGGGGGTTCTGATCTTGAGTTGTCCTTACGCGGTCTCGGAGATCTGATTCCACCACTAGGGCGTTCATTGACTTCCGACTAAGAGCATCTGCCACCACATTCGCCTTCCCGGGGTGGTATAAGAATTCGCAGTCATACTCTTTAACCAGATCGAGCCATCTCCGCTGCCTCATGTTTAATTCCTTCTGTGTGAAGAAATACTTCAGGCTCTTGTGGTCGGTGTACACGGTGCACTTATCGCCGTATAGGTAGTGACGCCAGATTTTTAAGTGCAAAGACTACTGCTGCGAGCTCCAGGTCGTGAGTTGGGTAATTCTTCTCGTATTCCTTGAGCTGGCGAGACGCGTAAGCTATCACTCTTCCGTTCTGCATAAGTACAGCACCTAGTCCGAGTTTGGATGCGTCGCTATAAATCACAAATCCTCCGGATCCTGCTGGTAGTGACGGAATTGGAGCGGTGGTCAAACGCTTCTTTAGTTCTTGGAAACTAGCCTCGCGGTCTGGGGTCCATCGGTAAGTGACTCCTTTCTTTGTGAGTTGAGTGAGGGGTGATGCGATTTTTGAAAAATCTTGAACGAATTTGCGGTAGTATC